GTTGTGTATTAATTTTCGGAACATTCCATTAGCCCACAATTCAATAAGAATATCTAAGCTTGATGATATATTTCTAATTAGCCACAAGGAATTTGACTTTGAAGAGGATTACCAGAGGATTTACTTCAATTCAAGATAATTTTAATGGATGAAAATTTGTGTATGTGAGTCGAACTAGGGATTATTGTATTCTCTTTCACGACGCAATCGTGGAAACGCACTCCCGTCCATGTAATATTTATTAGAAATTATACGGAGAATAATCGAACGAACCATCTTTCATAATATGTTCACTTACTTTCAGTGTACACTGAAAAGGAATTTTTGTAGATTTTAATTTTATTTTATTTTTCTATTAATATTATTACTACAAGATAATGAATACCTAGTGCTCAATTTATTTTATATTATATTACAAATAACCAATGATTTTATAAGATACAGGATTCATCTTCGGATGGTATCAAAATTCATGAGTTTTTTAAATAATCTATCCCCAACGCCGTATTATTTCACAATGCAACTTCAAAAGGAAAAAACCCGGGACCTTCTAAATTTATGGGTCAAATAAATGAGACATTTCTTAGCAATGATATACAAATCCTATTTACAGAATTATTATCAAATTTTTGTGAAGCTCCTTTAATGTCTCGAGCATCGGATTTTTGTATGGAAAAAATGAAATGAAATAATTCAGTGGTGACACCTAATGAGGCAAAGATAAATTAACAATGAATCAAAAAAGTTAACTAGAATACCAAGCCAAATGAAGTAAAGCAGAACTCACCCATTTGGCCAAAATTTCTGGCCAGACTTTAACCTCTCTATCTATTTCTATGTGTGTAGAATTGGGTTCTTGAAGATGTGCTGGTCCAATTTTTTGAAATATTTGATGCCCAAGTACCGTTCTACAAGATACAATCAAACTTAAGTAAGGAGAATTTCGCGAGACTCGATCGATGAAAGAAAAAATTTTTTTTTTTTTTTTTTACCCAAAAAGCAAACTAGCCAGTTGAAACCAATTTTCGCTCGTTTTAATGGTAGCATAGTAGACCAATTGATCTATTATGAAGAAGTATTGAAATCTGAGGTCCACCATTTTCTTATTGGCCTGCTTTATAATTTAAAGTACATGTAAGAAAACTTTATCTTTCAGAGAAGTTTAATCGACTAAACATCTCCACTAACCTCGTCCTTCGGATCCTCGGGTCTCTCGAAAAGGTCAGTGTTTTGATTGAAATCGCTGAGAAATCGAACAGTATGGTTTTCAAGCGTGCTAAAAGCGTACGATACTTTATATCCTGATGCCAACTAATTGGGCCACAAACATCCAACTTAACAAGATCTCACAATGCAATGTCATTTAAGTGCAAAATTTAATTAATAGATACCTGGAAGTTGGAAATATATCCAAAACTTATTCGCAGTGCTATCCAATAATTCTCTGATGGCCTATTTCTGTTATAAACCGTTATATTTTCTTGTATATACTTTTCCTGTGTAAATTTGAGTGAACTTGATTAGGCAAGATAAGGTAAAATAATAATAATAATAATAATAAATAAATAAATAAATAAAAATATAAATAAAGAGAAAGTGCTCACCCTTCGCACGCTTTCTACGTTCATGATAAGAGCTTTGATATTCGGTCGTACTATGACATCATGAAACGATTCTGAGGTTACCACCTTATTTCCTGTGGGAAACTCCAAAGTGAAATACATTGTGTCATTCACTATTTCATATTCCAACGGAGTGCTAAGAAGGTTTTTGATCTTAATTTCTCGAAGTGCTTGGTCAAATTGTATTAGCCATTCATCTTCTTCTTTAGAATTCACGTCTCGTCGCGAAATTTTGCCTTAAATACGTATAATGGATAAATGAGCATTCTTATTCGTGATGAGATTTCTGTTTATGAAGTCCGTGCCCACCTATAAATGCATCGATTTCTTCATACTCCACTTGTAAAGAAGGCATTTTGCATTTGGCCTTGAGGATGACGATTTGCTGATAATCCTTTACGAGTCTACAATTCACATAAATTTCAATCACCTTTTCTTCCATCAAATCAGGATTCCTTTGATTAAAAAGTTCTTGGAATTCATGTGAGGGCTGAGGTCTGAAACGGATGTAGACCCGCACATTGCTTTCTGGTTCAACTGTGAGACTCTTAAATAATTTTGCCGACATTCGCGATGTAGAAAAAACGATCTCTGTTGGATCTTTGTAATCTAGATTCGTTTTGAACTGTAAATCGGGTTAAAATTCTAATTAATCCAGAATTAAATGTTTCGCGTAGTAAGTTCTACAAAAAGTAGATATCTACCGTAAATTCCAAAGGCACACTTTCTCTATTGTAAATTACCATGCTTCTTGCAGTATACTCATAACCATAAAAAATATTTAGCATCTCAATTTGCGTTTGACTGATATCCACCCCGTTAACGTACACGTCGAACACATGATTATTTGGAAGGGGGATATTTGCCCCTCGCCGCAAATTTTGATGAGCAACAACCTGAATGTGTAAGTAGATGTTAACGCAAGAAAAAAAGAAAATAAAGAAAATAATTTTTGGCATTATAATAATGCACACCTCCATTAGAATCCGGATGGTTTTTATGTCCGATGGATTTTTCAAATTTTCAACTATTAGGTAAGTCGAATATACGTTTCGAGTGCTCGTCGAGAAACTAAGCGTAACGGTATGAATATCAATGTACTGTCGGTTGTGATCTTCCGAGGTCGCCTCCAAAGTTCCTTCGTTTCGACTTATGTTTAACCAATTCTTATCGTTCACAAACACTGTCTTCAAGCGATAATCAATTTGCTGAGATGTTGAGTTTTCAAGCGTCAATTTTTTAATAACGGTCGGGGATCCAAGGTCCTGCTGTCCAAGGTCAAGCTCATATCGACCTCCCACATCTGTCGCTTCTCCAATCCTTTTACATCCTCGAAGGGTGATAAAAGGCAATCCATTGCGAGATTCCTGAGACGAAAAAGATCTTTCCAATGAGGGAACCAACGGTTTCTGCGTAAATTTCACGATCTTCGACGATAGAGGAATAGAAACTTCTTCTATCATATGTAGGCTCTTTGACTCGGCATGGTGTTCTCTCGTGTCAGACTCTATACTGACAAGGACAGTTTTCTTTTGATTGGATAATGATTGTAAATCGAATATGTGAATTTTAATGTCTTCGGATACGGCTGCAGTTAAATCTATAAGACTAACTTCTAATATAAGTTTCTGATTAGCCCCTACAATCCCACAACCATCTTCGTCCAAAGGCGAAACATTTATAATATCCTTTGCCGATAGTTCCATTGGTCCTTCGATTTGAACTTTAAATAACAAAGGAATTTTATCGGAATGATTAATTATCACGATCGTATCTTTTTGAGCAGGCCAGTCTTTGGTCATCTGCAAATTTTTCCCGAGTTCTGATGTGGGAGTCGATGATTCCTCGACAAAATCACACCTCCCTCCACCGTCGATTTCCGAGACGGACCATGCTGTTTTGAATAGAATATTTTTCGGTGATATGGAAAATATTGCAGGGGATTCTGCAATGAAGCCGCGTATAGGTATGTTCTCTGCCACTTTTTGAACTCGATCGTCCTCGTTAATTTGCTTGGTTGCAACCAGAAGTTTACCAAAAGTCACGCCGTCATTGTTGGTTAGATAAGAAGATTCACGAGGAATACGAACATTCTCGATAGGATATGCTCTCACTCTAACTTCTATCGTTCCGAGTCCACTTATGGATACACCACCTATTAGAGGTGAATTCAAGAAACGGGATAGGACTTCGACTTTAACGAATTTCTGCACGTCCGGAGCGAGTTCTACGCTAATTTCAAATCGAACATCTTGGTCACTGATGTTAATGATGGTGAACCAGGTATCACAAGGGAGATCCGATGGGGGAAAAGGATGATAAAGAGTAGGCAATACAAGTTCCCCTTGGATAAGACGATCAAACTTAAGTTCGAACAATGTAAGGGTAGCCTCGACTTTTAAGGTCAAGGTGTTCAAAGGATTAAACATGTTCAAGACATTGACATCAAATATTCGTTCGCCAACAGTAAAGTCGTTGATACGACGGGGTTGGAGAATCGCAGTGACCACTCGATCAACATGTGATTCCAAGGTCTGTTTCAAAACAATCACTCCTTGATTGACTTCATCGGTAGAACCTCCATTCATAAAGCCTAAAATTTCAATGCAATCGGGACTTTGCAACTCATAGTGTAGAGGTATGTCTGATATATTTCTAAGACTAAATTGAAATTTCACTCCTGACCATGAATTGGAATACCCTATTCGACCTACGTTTAAACACGACGTGTTCAGTTCTCCTATGGGAACACAAAATGAAGCATTAAGGCACGCCAATTTCACTACTACATTTTGGATTTGGTCCTCTAGGAAAAATACACCTTTGAGGTTGACCTTTTTTCCGCTTGCAACTCTCTTGATTTCGTCTCGATTTAAAGATTTAGGTTGTGGACAGCTGACGTAAAAGTATGCTTTGCTCCTTGGTTCCAACTTAAGTGTAGGACCGCAAATTTTGAATGAACGACCGTCATCTTCTTTTAATTCCTCATCTGAGAATGCTCTCGAATCTCCAAAGGGACCCCATCTAACTTTGACGTCCAAGTTGCTACGAGGTGCTATTTTTAGGACTTCGGATTCCGAGTTATTAAAAATTTCCACGCATTGTTCGTATGCTGGAATGTTTGCGGCTTGATATCCTTTTTGAATGACAACTTTTGGAACCATGTCCTTGGTCAATAAATCATAATCGGTAATCGACACGGCAATGTCATCCCACGAAATCGAAGGCAATTTCTCCAAATCCTTCGAGGGTTCCCCAGTTGAATGTACGAGTTCGACTTTAGCAGATTTGGATGAAGTAAACTCGTCTCTGATGTAGAAATCAAGAATGCAGTTGTCAACAAATAGGTAGACTTCAACTTCAAATACTTGTTCGGCATTGTTTTTGTTTGTTATAACGATTTTGTCGCGGAAAAACCCAAATTTTGAAGAGGTAACACGAAAATTGATAATGGCCGAGGACAGATTGTCTGTTGGTGGCAAGCAGATGGTACTCTCACCCTGAATCTCATTCTGTCTTAAAGATTCACGAGACTCAATTGACGAGTCCCGGCCTTCGAGCGTTCCACCAGGGTGATCCAATATTATGTTGCCATTAGGACATTCCACTGCATATTCCAGCGGAAGACGCGTAGATAAATTGCGGATAGTAAATGATCCATAAAAAGTATCTCCAATATTTGAAGTTGTGCCAAGGTTTATCAACTTCTCAGAAACTGAAAATACAGAGCGACCTATGAGAGATGTAAATTTGACTGTCTGTGTAGTAACAGTGATCAGTTCTTCTGCACTATTGGTCTCCGGAATCGGCGGGCGCTGAGGTTCCTTAACCTGAACTGAAAACTTTATGCCACCTATTAACACGCGACACTCATCGTTCGCAATGACATTACGGTCAGTAGCGGAATTTCCCGCTGAATTCGATGTCCCACCGTTTAGACCTATGTTTCTTGTGAGTAGATTTGGTTGCAAAGCCACCCAAACGGTCATCATTGTTTTTTTCTTCAATAAGGTCCCCACAACCTGTCCCTTCTCTCCACTTTCATCAAGAAATACTGAAACTTGTAAAGAAAGGTTGCTTTGACAAGTTATGTAGACGTCATCTTCAGTAATGTTTTTTACCAACAGGGGGGTGACCTGGGAGTACTTTCTACCTGGGTCAACGTAACAATATCCTAGATCCAGTTCTGATTGACCATCATCTCCCAGTGAAGGAAATCGCAAGTAATAAGGATGATGAATATATCCGTGAAGCGTGAACCGGAATTCGGACTTCGTTCCACAATTCCGGATGATTACCGAATGTAATTGGCGCCCCGTTTTTTCGGCGATTACGGCATAATCCAAACGACGTGTTTCCTGAGGGGCTAATTTATCATGAAGCTTGGTAAATTGGAAAAAATTTTTTTCATCTTCGGGAATTATTATTTTGTAGCATAAAGGCTCGTCTCCACGATTGATCAACTTGAAATAACAATTATGTCTCTGATTAACTTCAAGTTTTCCAATATCAAGATCGGTCGGTTCCAGAACCAAATTCTCAGGTGACGATTCGTGGATCGACGCATCTGAACTTGGAAATTCATATTGCGATAGCTCAGTGTCCGGTGATTGTGACATGAATGTCGAGGTTGTTATTAGGTCATATCCTTGAAGCAAGGGGGAACCGATTAGATTAGGAAATTTACGCAATACGAACGACGAATCTTTTCCAATTTGATCAGGAAGGTCGGTGGTTAAGCTTGAAAATTCGGGAACCGGGCTGGAAATACCTGACTCGGTCTGATTTTCTGCACCATTATATGTTTCCTCATTCAGAGCTCGCAAAAAACTAAAGTAATCGTAAAAAACGACGGCCTGAAACATGACAATCTTAACAATATCTTGATTTTTGTGCTCATGCACATACACCCGGCCAGTGACCGACTCCTGGGACTGCCTTAGGTCGGAGATTTCTTCGGTGGCAATTCTAGTCGCCTTAAAATATACGGAAATCGTTTTCGTCGTTCGTGGACCCAAGGGAAAAATTATTGATGATTGTGTCTTTTTGTATTTGACATTTCGTTTATTAGGTTGATCTGTGGGTTTGTCGGCGCGTGACAGCGGTCGACTGGGCCCTCTACTATTTTCACCGGAACGGTCAAAAATCTCTTCGACGGGTGACTTGACTGCGTCATTAAGAAGATCAACCTTTTCTTCTTTCGTCGCAATTTCGTAAGTTGTACCAAATGCAGTTTCATCCACGGATTCGGTTTCCGTCCCGGAATCATTTTTACCCGATTCACCTCGTCTTAATTTTGCCAATTTCTTTTCGATTTTTTTGACCTTGTCATCTCGTCCCTTACGTTTAGCGATTTTGACTTTTTGTTCCAAACTTTCAATTTCTTCCTCAGTCTCCTTACTTAAAATTCCACTGAGGGAGGAACCATCAAATTCTTCTTGTAGTACGAAATCCAGTTCCCCTACGCAAGCCTTATACTTTAGATCCTGGGGTTCGACTCGAACCTCGATCATGCGAAGTTGTTTATTCGTATTACTGATAATTATATGCTGAACCTTCAATGGATTCTCATTGATGAGACATGCTCCAAAATTCATATTCAAACTTTGAATAGAGAAGGCGTGTTGCTTTCGTATGTTTGCCTTCACCGAAAGTACTTGACTATTCTCGCGATCTCGAACGTTCTCTATCCCAATTTTCTCATGAAAAAGTCCCGAAAGGCTAGGTTCGAAAGAAAATTCCACTTCTTTTTTACTATACCCACGAACTACCCCCAAACGACCGATTCCAAATGTAATGTCTCCCGATGCTATCGAACCCGATTTACGGATATAGTATAAGAGGGGCACCTCGCTACGGTTTTGAATTAGTATGGTCGTATTTCGACGCTCATTTTTATCCATTAATCCAAAATTAATATTCTTCTGTCCCAAATCCATAATTGACCTGCATAACGTAGCATTAACCATGAGTTCCCTGACAGGAATTTGACTTTGATCGCCGTGAAGCAGCGCGTCAAATTGAGGCTGCTGTATATCACGATCAAATTCCATCAGACGAATATTCACTCGTGAATCAAATTTCTTTGGCAGTCCTTGAACATTTGAATGAAGATTCGGCCTTGGAGTAAATACCACGATGATTTGACATTCTTCCGAGGGTGGGATTTCCACGATTTTAACGGGAACGATCTGATGATCTCGTATGCGATTATTTAATTCCCGCAATAACCTCATCTGAAATCGCACGTATGATTCCTCATCAGATGGCTTTGGAAATATTAGCGGCAACGGGTTATTCTTGGGTTCAAACATTTCAATAATGGATTCGACGGGAATGTCAGATATTTTCGACAAGTCTTCACCTTTCGGATAACTTCTGAAGGAAACACTCTCGACCGAATCATCGTTCGTTTTATTTGTTAGAACACCATTAAAACCACGTGAATAGTTTTTCGCGGTGGCACTGATTGAGCTAATCGATGGATGAACTGCCGTAATTGAGCCGCCTTTTATTCTGTCAATGACCGAGTTCACCCCAGACGTTTTACCTACTTTTAACTTCGCCGGTCTTCTTCGCGAGTGACGTCTAGGATCGATGTCCGACGATCCAGCCAGATCAAGATAGGCCGCGCTGGAAGGCGTTGAATCGGACAATGGACCGTCCAAAAATGTAGCGGCGTTGTACCTCTTAATAGACATATTAGAATGAATTTCTCCCGCTATCAATGTGGCATTAGTGGTGGATAAGTTCAGCTTCGTATTTATACCAATTGCATCAATGTTGGAATGATTTTTTGGCATTCGGCGGTTCCCTATTGACTCCAGGAGCATTTCTCTTCTTTCGATTTTAGAGGAACTGGCATCACTTTCTACATTACTAGAAGAATCAACAATTTCATCGATCGAGAGAGATGCAGTCTGGGCATCGCTCGAGTTCGTTATGTAATCATATATTGGACGTTTATGATATATGACAATCTCTTCTGGTGAAGATGACGAGAGCTCCAGGACCAACTTCTTTACACTGATGTTGTCTATTGTGAAAGTTCTTATTCTAGGCGAATTTAAAACTGACGTTCCGAAATCAATAAAATTGCTACCAGTCGACGTTAATATGCGATAAAACAGAGAATGAAATGTCACGCGATTTTTGTCTATATTCGTACTCCTAACCTCAATAATCTGATCATCATCCCGGTTTTGCAGATTGACAACGGTAATCTGTTTTCGATAATCGGCATTCACCTTCCTGGGATACATGGTGAGTTTTACTTCAGATGACATTTTCGGCGGAATAACAATTTTGTTATTCACACAATATAGCACCTTGGAAACAAATTTAAGTTCTACGCGAGCGGTCAATTCTGATAAATTTGTAATCGTTATGGGTAATGATTTATTAGTGCCAACATCCGTATCCCCAAAGTTCACTTCCTTAGGGTTGACGTCGATGAAGGGCGTGCAACTTCGAGCTTTACATTGAATGATTTTACGCTCATGACCACCAGAGCGTAAGCCCACTTGGCTCGAATTGACAGGAGAGTATTGAACGATAATACGGAATGTCCTGCGAATAAGTTTTCCTGCCTTAAAGTCATTAGCTGAGGAATCTTTCTCTGGGTGATAAGACACTTGAACTGTTCGCTCTTTACCAGGACCTAAAATGACTTCATCTATTCGAGCAATCTTATCAGCCTTGAAGCCAATTTCTGGTTTTTCAGTTGAACCCTTGATCAAGAAACCGCTTCCCGACACATCTTCTCCTATGGATTCCTCGGTATCAGGATCGTCGGCGACTTTCGTCCGATGTCTGCTGGTAGATCTAGATACATCCTCCGATGGAGATTCACTTGTATTTTCCGTAGATAAAGTTAATCCTTCGAGTTCATGGTTTTGCAGACTCGGAGAAATTGCTCTTGAACTGGTTTCGCTGATAGGACCAGAATTTATATTGATTTGGGTATTATTCGTTGTCGACGTGCCGTGCGCAACATTTGTGATGTCCTTGAAATGATTTTGTAATGAAGACAAATCCTCCATATCAATAGAACTTTGGTTTTTTTTTACATCTTTTCTTAGATAATCGGTGTTCAGATGAAACAAGATTTCCGCGTTTTCTGCCGCAAAGTGTATTTCCAAAGGTACCTCGCTAACATTTTTTAAAACCAATTGTTGCTTACTCCAAGCTCCAGCGCAACAATCCCCAAAGTCCAAAACATTCCCACTGCTAATGACCAATAACTCCTCGCTTAACACAGATCTCACAACCGCGTGTATTCTACTTTGCAAAACATTCTCTGAATCATTGGCATTTTCCAGTTGTAGATCATAATTGAATTCGCCGATTTCTTTGGGCCGAAAAGTGATCCTGATTCGTCTATGCGAATAACTTGGTATTGGTTTGTTATCTAATAATTCGCCGGTGTCACAATCGGTGAATTTAATCCAATCTTCGCGCTCTGAATAAGACAAGTCTACTGTATTGAGAAGCCAATATAATTCGATCTCTGAACGATTCCATATTGTGAAATCTTTGAAATAAGTGCCGCCTATCACGCAATCGTCAAAATTTATGCCAGTTTCTCCAACATCAGTCCATAACACTGAACGAGAGACTGTGGAACAAAATTTGATGGTGATTTGATAGTCCGCCTTTGACGTGTTAACTGGTTCCATCTCTCGAGAGGATGTAATTTCTGGATCAGATTTTGATGATTTAATAGCTGCAAACAATACATTATCGCGATTAGTAAGATAAAAAAGATTCGCTTAATCATCAATGAAAACAATACCTATGCCATCTTCGTTAGAATCCACATTTTTGGTAATTAATGAGTGACGGGTTAAATTGTAGTTTTCACCAATTTTTTGAGAATTTTGTAACTTATCAGAGTAATTTACATATTCGCGGCTTCCATTGAGCTTCTCTGGTGCTGACTCACTAATCTGTTGTTTGTCGATTACGTAAGCAAAAAACAAAAGTAAACCATTGACTTCGAAAAAATCATGAGTTTCATCTTCGGATGATTGCATGAATATGTTAACATTGCCCCTTTTATCATCATCTCCATCTTTATCTATCAAGGCCGAAGACGGATTATTGAGATCATCAGCAGACGAGGGAGTAACAGCATGGTTCACCTCTGATCTTCGAGTTTTATTACGAGGATCGGGTAAAAAGGCCAATATGATTTTTTGGGAACATCCCGGAGCAATTTCCACTTCATCTATATGATTCACATAATTAAAGAGCTGATTGAATTGATGCCCGTTGGCATCTCCAAACGCTCCTGCAGCAGCTGCCGCCACCGTATTTGTTGTAATATTGCACAAAGGATTCTGGGATGCTTTATTTAGAGACGCACGCGAATTATCTTCAGGAGCAAGGTTTAACGCATAATATGATTTGGAAGTTAATGACTCTTTATTTTCTTTTGTGACCGGCTCCCGAGACTCAAATTCCGGTAGATTTTCGTTAGTGAGTTGATAAGCAATCTGAGAACCCAGATTTGAACGCAATTTGACTAAGATGGTATTTTGCGATATATTTCGAATTTCAAAACGTCTTAAAGCATGAAGTCCATTTAAATAAACTTTTTCCAACACGAGACGATTTGGGATGTTGACGACCTCAAACAATGGCACGGAAGCTGAGCCGGATCGATTTAACTGACTCCCATTGTTTATACTTGATGATTGTTCAGTTGCCATCACTTGATCTATTCTGAAATTCTTAAAAAGATTCTATCGTTCACAAACACCCAATAGCGGGGAATATGTTAATAATCGACAAGTGAAGTCAAGGTTTGACCAACAATGTCAATTAAGTATATGCGGAACCACCTCGACATTTATGCCCGATTATTCGTGATGACTAGACAATTCCCTCCTTTCGAGTTTGATCCAAACACGTATACAGGAATTAGGATGTATGCAAGATACGAAATGCATGGCCTGCAGATGATCTTTTTGAAGTTACACGGGAGGTATCATGCTTGAAATGGTAATATTTTTTTTCAATAATTTATCTTTTTTTAAACATCTATTTTTTTTAATTATAATTAGCAATTATGCCAGCATAGTGTTTCTTTATTGAGATATTAGTCAAAGTTATATTAATTTTAATAATAAGTAACTTATTTTTATATATTATTAATACTATTTAAAAATATAAAAAATTAATATAATAATTATAATCTATTATTTTATAAAGTCTTGATATTCTTTTAAAATAAAAAATATAAAGTTCACTTAACTAAACAAAATTAAGTTTTTATTATATATTGTACATATTTTTTTATTGTTTTAATTTATAATTAAATTAATATAATCTTGTCAGAACCTTGAAACAAGAAAAGTTAGATATATAATTAAAATAATCCTAAAATAAAGATATAAAAATCTGCAAAATACCTAAAGAAAAATAGTAAACTCATTAATAAAGAAAGAGTATATCAAAATAGTTTTGGATAGAATCAAAGTTAATAAAAAATGATCTGAATATATTATAACCAAAAAGAGTGAAATTGAAAAAAAAGTTAAAAAAAATACTATTAAGAAATCTTTAAAAAATAAAAGATCAATTTTGATAATCTTACTAATGACTAAAAAGAAAAAAATAATTTAAAAAACTATATCAAGGTATAGTGATACAAAGATCTTCTAGATCCTATTTTACAAAAAGAACTAAATAAAAAATTTCAAATACTTCTCAATAACAAAATATCAAGATAATTGCAAATTAATTATAAAATATTAAAAAAGTTAGGTTATAAAGAAATAATATTTATTGATTAAAAACTAAGTCACATCTATTCAATAGCAAAATCAAAACAATAAAAATATGATCTCCTAAATATAAGATCTATTGTATTACTGAAATTCATAAGAAAATGATTTATCGAAATTCTAACAAATAGATTAGGAAATATCTGTAAACTTAATAATATTCTAAAAAATTCTAATTTTATAGAACTACTAGGAAAAAATATTACAGAACCAATTTAGATTTTTAACAATATTTGTAAAAATGCAAGAGAAAACAAAAAAAAGTTATGAATACTTTTCAAGACATAAGAAAACCTATAATATAATTAACTTGGACATATTAACAAGGATTATAAAAAAAAATCTAACTTTCAGAAGAGTTCATTAAAATTATAATATGTTTGCTTTAGTATAAAAAATTTAAAATTATAATTAAAAAGGGATTTATAAAATCAGCAATAGCTGGAGATGGAATTAATCAAAGAAAAACTATTTTACTTTTAATATGAAGAATTTTTTATAATCCTTTATGTATAAAATTTAGAATAATGAAACAAAGGAATATGAAATATCAGTCACTTGAAATCCAAATCTAAAAGGAGAAGGAGTCAACAAGAAATTAAAATCCAAATATATAATAATTCTTTTCATGAATAATACTATATAAATAGCAAAATCCCCAAAAAATATGAAAAAAATTCTAGAAGAAACAAAAATCTTTTATAAAATCAATGATTTTCAAATTAATAATAATAAATCAATACTAGTTACTATTAATAATTTTAATCACTATCTAGAAGAAGTTAAAGTAAAAATTAATAGTGAAACAATTAAGGAGTTAGATAAAACTAAACATATAAGATTTCTAAAAATCTAAATTGAGAATTAAAAGATAGTAGTTAAATCAAAAAAGAAAATATTCAAAGAGATCAACATAATTATACAAGCCTTTAAAAATAAAAAGTTGACTAACAAGTAAATACTTTATATTCTAAATAAGGTTTTGATATTAAGAATAAAATTTTGTATATAACATAGTATACTATTCTAAAAAATATGCAATACTTTAACTATGATATATAGAAAGCTCCTTAAAAACAAAGTAATTTATGTAGATCTATACTTAATAGTATAGTACACTATCTAAAAATCTATAACTTAAAGAGTATTTGAATACTACAAAAGGAAATCCAAATAATAGAACTATATAACAAACTAAATAATTTAGAATCAATAGGACTTATAATAGTTATCAGAATTAAAAAGCACAAATTAAATATTGGAAACCATTTAATTTACTTACTTGCAAATTATTAAATAATATGCCAGGTAAAGATAATTTTACATTTCAAGTAATAAAGCTGATAAAAAATAAAGAAATAATATTTCAAAGCTAAAAATAATAAAATATCTTCAAAAGAATAAAGAAAACTATCTAATCAAAATGTATTTAATATTAAACTAATATATAAAAGCTATATCATTACTTATAAACAATTAGTTAATATACATAGATCAACTAATCATTTATGAAATTAAAGAATTAAGAAAATGGCAAATAATCCAATTAATCCAAATATCAGTAAAGAGTCTATTTCAAAATAATATCTAGCTATAGAAAGAATTATATAAGAAAAAGGACTAGAACAACTCATAAAACTCTGAAAAGAAAACTAATCAAAATAGGAATTAGCAATTATAAAGATAGATCTGAAGCATGATAAAAGTTAAACACTCTGAGTAATAACAAGTAATAAGTATCAGAAAATAACATAGAAAAAGCTAAGATTGAAAGATATTAAGCAAGTAATACAAATAAAATACTTCAAGTGTATTGAGTTTTTAAATAATTTGGAAACTAACTTGATAAAATATCTAGGATATGCAGAAAATAAAAAAGTGAAAAATCAATGTATAATAGAAACAAAAAAAATAAAACAATAAAGTTTTCTATCTAAATATAAGAAAATTCATAAAAAAAGTCTAGTAGTTAAATATCTCAAGCTCCAAAATAGCTCTAGAAAAAACAATAAAAAACTAATTCAAAATAATTATAATACAATCTGAATAGTAGAGTAAATTAAGTAGATTTGGAAAATTGAAAAGAACAGATTATTAAAAGTAACATAAAAGAAAGTGTATATCAAAATTACCTAATTAAAATACTCTGATGTAATAAATGGTTCAAAGAAATATTAATATTTTATTCTAATAAATTTCTTATCAATTATAGAAGTAAAAATAAAAATAGAAGCAGTATATGTACAAGTGAGAAAAAAGAATAGAGAAAGTAAGTTTCAAATAGAAGTAGATAATTGATTATTATTCATTAGAACAAAATTAGTAGCAATAGTTACAATATTATTAGTTGTTTCAATGAATAATAAGGTCAAGATTTTTATAGACAACCAAGCTTATATTGTTAAGTAGAAGATAATAGAGAAAGAAAATTCCAAAAGAACTTATAAAGATGGTTGAAAAAAAAAACGGTTTCTATAGACAAAAATATTGAATATTATTAAAAAAAAAAATTGAATCTGAAACTGATCAAGGTTAAGGTATACTCTAATGATATATATAATAAAGAAGCAGATATTTTAACAAAAGAAGTTTTAACACTTTCTGTAATCAAATAAAAAAATGTTACTTTATTTAAAAACATTACTGAAATCAAGTAATATCAAATGCTTTAAATAATTACATAAGATATTTATTAAGTAAAGTTACAGCTTATCAATAGACAAAACAAAATAGGATTTTGAACAAATGGAATTGACAAATTCTAGATCAATATGATTATACATAAAATTTAATAAGAGAAAGAATGAAAAATAAATATACTTAAAATACCTTCTTTAAATATTTCCAAGAAAGAAACTTCCTTATCAAATTAATCAATAAAGAGTTATCAATACTTAACAAATTAACTATAAGAAAATCAGATTTATATAAACAAGTAGAATATATAGCATATAAACAGTAAGCAAAAACAATAAACCATCTACTATAATGCCTAAAATATAAAGTTCAATAGCAAGAAATATGGAACAAAGAAACTGAAGGTATTCTAAAAGACTTTTAAAAACTTTAACATAATAGAAGAAAAGAGATGAAAAAAAAAGATAAGGCTTTTAATTAAAAACAAAATAAAATTAAGAGAATTGAACAAACATATATTCAAACTTATAGAAAAGATTACAAAAACATGCCAAAACATATTAAACTTCTGTATAGAACTAATATAAAGTGATCAGATATTAAAAATATCAAATCTAAAATATTATTAGAAAAAAATAGGTAAAAAAACCCAAAGGTAGATAATAAAGATATAGAAAAAGATTTGTAATTAATTTTAAAAGAAAATTTGAAATAAAAGATGCTCAAGAATAATTGAGTGGAAATAAGCATAAGTGATCTATAGAGAAGATAAAATAAGAAGACTAGTCTACTCTTCAGATCAAACTAATAAAATCATAATTATAAAAAAGTATTTACAGAAAAAAGAAAAACTAGAAGACAAGAGTCTAAAACAGACTTTACTAGAAAAAGTAAAGTATGAAATAAGATAGCTAGGGTTTTAACTTCTGTCAAAATCATAAGAAAAATCTGCAGTAGTAATCTGCAGACAATAAAATTAGTAGTTGAAAGAATTTTCATCTGAGCAATTAATAGAATGATGAATTACTTCTAAAGTTATACTTAGAATAATAATAATCAAAATAAGTGAGCTAATTAGAAATTTAGCTTTAATGAAACATTTCATATATATAGTATACTAATGTTTAATAAAATATATATAATTAATCTAATAGAGAGTAAAAAAAAAAACTCTTTATTAATTTGAGTAACCACAGTTAAACTAAATAATATAGTCTGTTACTTTATTAATAGAAAATTATCACTATTGAATATTTTATCAAGCCACTAAAATATAAAAAAATATA